CCCCAAAACCCCAAAACCCCAAAACCCCATTCAATTTTACTAGAGTTTCAGTTCGCATCTTTCTTGTACATAATTAAAGGTTTAAAAATTCTCAATTATTGAGGGCTCATATGTCTTAATCCCATCAATATTATAGCATTATTAATACTTACTAAGGTTAAATTAATCAGAATTTAGTTACAGATCTCAATTTTAGTTTGTAATTTGAATCTCCTTCTTTAAAGAGTTTAAGGAAACCTTAACCATCGTCAGTATGCATTTTCAATGTTTCAGATCTGGTGCTTTGTTCTTGCAAGGGTCCACTTTAGAGGACTTCTGAATTAGATGAATCCTTCAGCTCTTAATAAAAATCTTCGTTGGATTCAAACTTTTAATTTTTACTTTTCTATGGTTTAAAATAGGTGTCTATAATACTGTCAGATTCATCATCTGAATTATTCAATTTCTATTAATCTATATTGCTTTTAAAATCTTGAGTTTAAATCTAGGAAAGCCATTAATTAATTGCACTTGTACTTAAGATTTAGTAACCAAGCTCAAATTGATCAAGATTTTCTTGCTATAAATTTTCATTTTGTACAATGCCAATTCTCTAATGTGAAATATCTTAGTACTATAATAACTGCTGTGATTGTTAATCCTAAGATTCAGAATTAATGCACTAAGAACCATTTCCTATTAAAGAATCATTACTATTTATCGATGCCGATTTGTGATATTTATGGAGCTTTTTGCATAACTTACATTTTTTATCAATTTAAGTAGTATTTACATGGAAATCAGATAGAAAGCTTTGAGTATTTTCCATCATTTCTGGCTAGAATGCTCTCCTATTTGAGAAATAGATCTTATAGCTGCATGGTTTTGGTTTTATACTTTTATTTTCATATTTGTCACATCTTAAAGAATAGTATGGCTAACCACCTTTATCACAATACTTAAGCTAAGACTTATGCGAAAATGTAGCTTTTATTTATTTGGGCTAGTGTTCTATGACAATGTGTTAATAGATTTTATTTCTCTTTCAGGAGTCTTTAACAGTAATCTTGAAATCTTGATTTGATATTGAAGATAAATTTAATCGAGGTTTTTTTTATTATTTTTCATCAGAATTAGCTTTTACCATGATTATTTAATCAATTCACTTTGAAATATCTATAAATAAAATAACAATTTTTGCTTTAAATTTCTCTTCTGAATCAACCTTGTGGGGTTTTGGGGTTTTGGGG